AAAAGACAAAACATATGGTGGCGTATTATTCCACGTTCTGCAGAAGATTCATTCTAATTTTGCACATTTTGTGAGTAGTGCAGCCAAGCCCTAAGAGTCATGTGCAGAGACCAACAGGGCCTGGCTACGTGAGCAACCCATAACTTCTGAAACACAGACCTGAATTCGAATCTCGAGTATATATTTGGCCAGCTCGTGCTCTACTTCATATTCACTGCCTGCCTTGATTTGGTGGGGCAGTCTGCGCTAAATGGCTGCGAGGACCCTTCAGATAGCCTGCATGGGCCATCTGAGCTGTGTTAAGGCGATCCGTTCTCTCTCTCTCTCTCTCTCTCTCTCTCTCTCTCTCTCTCTCTCTCTCTCTCTCTCTCTCTCTCTCTCTCTCTCCCTCCCCTTGTATGCACACACCCCTTATAAAAAAAAAAGAAGACAAAAATGCATCTGCACCCCATCACAGACACCCCTCCAACCCCATCCCCCCCCATCCCCCCACCAAAACCAAAATTTCATTGCAGATTCGGGGTCCTCTCGCCAAGCGCAGAGCGACCGCGGTTTCAAAAAAAATAAAATAAAAATTCTGGGCGATTTTTTGTCCTGCCCGGTTTACCCAGGCGGCCCCCCCGGGGCCAACGGGCTGGGCCCAGCCCGGCCGGGCGGCGTCCTCACTCAGACAAAAAATGATTTTTGTATTTGTTTTTTTAGTTTAAATTCGGTAAAGAATTTCGATTTGACCCTGAGGCAAAAATTGTTCACTTTATATTTTTGCATAACATGGTTTCTTTTCGTTTTTTTTTTTTTTTTTTTACTAGGAACTTCCTTGTCTTTGCACGGCCGGGCCGCCCTGGAAAATATGGTGACCCGGGCTGCCCGGCTGGTAGCCCAGGATTTTTGACACAGTAAGGGCATGACAGTATCCCTTTATGTATCTGCATGATGGCAGATTGATGTGTCTCGTTTTTCCTTTTCGAGGAGTCAAAGATCGGATTTTTGCCTTGATCTATCCCATCCTACCCTACGCTTGAGGTAGATGCCTGTCCAATATAAGCAGCTGGGGAGGGTAGCTAGCATATGGTAGGGAGGTAGTAAAAGGTGAAATTGAGAGAAGAATTAATGGCTGAGATTTTTTTAGCAGCCTTCAGGCCCACATCAACCCTCATGAATAGCATAAGGTGGGTCTGCAAGGTGGCTACTCTTGAGTCTTGGGGAGCTGCCCTGGCCGACATCTCATTAATGTGTCCTACGTCCGTTTCTCGTGTTTTTTTTTTCCTCCTCTTTTCCACTACTTACGAAATGTGCGAAATGAGAATGAATCTTTTGGTAGAAACATGGGACGATACACCGACAATATTTTGTGCGTTCTCTGCATGTGAAGAGTAGTGCAGCAAGATCCTTTGTCGCAATCGTTGTTGTGCCGATCATCAGGTCGATGAAGAGGGAAAAAAGAAACAGTGTGAACTGCATTGATTGTCCCAGGCGGTTGGAAATCGGCTGAGTGGAACTCTGATGCAACGGTCATTTAACAGATCAAGAGTATAAGTCCTTATGCCATCGACCAAGTATAGTAATCCTAGGGCGTAGGGCCGAACCCCTAGGTTCTAGTTTAGGTGATGCCATCAAACCCTGTTTGCAAGTCCTAGATTATATGTCAGCTACGTAGGAGTCGCAATAGTTTGGCCCTACTTTGTTGTTTCAGGTTTAGGGTTTATGATTTCAGGGTTAGAGTATAAGGTATACGAGATACGATTGGACTATCACGAGTCCGGCCTAGGGTTTAGGGTTTAAGGTTAGGATGCAGGGTTTAATGTTAGGATGTAGGGTTTAGGGAATGCTCTGAGACTGTTCCGAGTCTTGGATAGCGTTTCTATGGTATAGGGTTAGGGAAGGCTATCTGACTATTGCACGTCCCGGGTAGGGTCTAGGTTTATGGTTGAGCGTTATGGTTTAGGGCTATTGTTTCTATGGTATAGGGTTAGGGATGGCTATTTAACTACTGCAAGTCGTGGTTAGGGTCTAGGGTTTAGTGTTGAGCGTTAGGGTTTAGGGTTCAGAGTTTGAGGGCTAACATTAGGGTTTAGGAGTTAATCTGCATTCCTGGTTTAGAGTTTAGGGGTTCAGGGATCAGGGTTAAGGGTTTAGGGTTTAGGGTTCAGGGTTAGGGTTAAGGTTCACGACTGAGGATGCTGGGTGAAATAAATTGAAAATATGAACACAGAAGACTGTGACATGGGCCAAGCCCATATGGCTGAATAAGTATTTCAGTAGTGATGAACAGATCAGGGTTTAGGGTTGAGGGTTCAGGGTTAGGGTTCAGGGGTGAGGATGCTGAGGTAAGAGAAATTGTACATATGAACATGAAAACAATGGCATTGGCCAAGCCCATATGACTGAATGGGTGTATCACTAGTTATGAACAGATCAGGTAGGTGCGCAGAAAGTTTTTTTTACTGCAATTCGCAGTCCAGGGCTTGCTTGTCTAATGTGTGCGCGTGTTGTCATATTCGCTATACACTCAAGAAAATCATGACTGTGCCCGACTGTTTCGTTGGACTTTCGCCGACTCATCAGGTGGCTTGTGTGTGTGTGTGTGTGTGTGTGTGTGTGTGTGTGCCCGTTCTTTATTTTCTTTTTATCTGTGCAGCGAAAAGGAACAGCTGCTTTCCTGGAAGGTCTGAGGGAAAAGAAGCAGGTCCTGCCAGATTCAGAAAGTAGGGCAGAGGTGCTTAAGCGTCTTCGGCTGATGATGGGTGATGGTAAGTCTTCGGGCGAGAAAGAATCCGATACAAATAGGACTCTCTGAATCAGCATCTGGCCGGTATGGTGGTCCGGTACGTCCTCAAAAGTCATCGTGTGAATGTCCCCGAAGAAGCAAGGGGTGTGAAAGAGAGTGCATTGTGGTTGAGGTGGCAGTTGCTTGTTTGCTTCTGCAGGCGTTGCTGGGCAGGCTGAGGCTATAAGAGCCAGGCGACATGGGTGCTATCCTTGTGCTTAGAGAGCATGAACCTGGCTATGAAATTAGCCACATTCATGCTATCATACATAGTACAAACAAAGCAGCAGCCAAAGTTTTGCCAAGTCAGAAGCTTAAGCCAGGCCTTGATACTTGTAGCGAAACGATCGTTTGACTCGAGTTTTGTGTTACTGGAGAGCGGCTGGTTGCCCTGTCTCAAGCTTTCTTCAGCTGATGCCAAGCACGGACCGTCCATTCTGCTGACAATTTTTCTGCAAGGGAGCGGTGAAATGGAAGCTAACAATACGGCCTGTGACTGTGAGTTTGTGGGTGTTCTTGATTATTTGTTGTTGCTTTTCTGTTTCCTTTTCTTCCTCTCAAGACGGAATTGTTGTTGATTGCCTGTTTTGTGCCTTGCCTTTTCTTTCTCACAAATTCGCGGAATAGCTGTGGTTTGCCGCTTTCACAGATTTCATCCCTCCGAAATGCAACTAGCTGATGGGTTGATGCTATCCCACACAGGCTTCTCAAACGATGCAGACAAAGAGATGTCAATGGCTCAAAAATGCGCTGCAGAAGGTTGTGGACAGATCATTGCTTGGTTGCATGGAGGAGTCTGGTTGGGAATGCCACATGAGGTGTGTGTGTGTGTGTGTGTGTGTGAGAGAGAGAGAGAGAGAGAGAGAGAGAGAGAGAGAGAGAGAGAGAGAGAGAGAGAG